AAACCCAATAAAAACATGGTTCTTCTCCAGCGTTACCTGGAAACTGTGACACAGAAAGAGCTCTACGAGTGGCCTGTGGCCACCAAAGCGTTTCTAGAGAGGCCTGTTACAAACTGGGATGTTGCTATGATGCTCATGATTCAACCTGCTACTACAAACTCAATGGTAAGACCGACATAATGGTGCTTATCTTTTCTATGAAAGTACTGTGTACATGGGGGCGATTTGAGATGGGTCATTTACATGCAGCGTCATCTCTGAGCTTCCCATTAAAAAGGAACATATGGTCACTTTGCTCGGTTGAAAAAAGCTGACCTTGTCCTGACTTTGACGCTCCCTCCAGCCTGCTCTCTGGACGGACACTTTGTGTTCTCAGTAAAGGCCACAGACACAGAGCCGCCTATTGATCCCAGCAGTCTCTCAGTCAAGGACCAGCCACAGTGTTCCCCTGTGCTCATCACCCAAGACACGGCTGTCTTCAAGATTGGAATCATGGACTGTGGTGCAAAGATGAAGGTAATGCTACTTGTCAAGGGTTTAACTCCAAAGTCTAAGTATTACAAAATGTAACCTGGCATAAAGTTCAGTCATGTGGGGCTACTGTAAGTATAAAAATCACTAAACACTTTAAAATGTTTTGCACAGCTTAAATACAGATGTTGTACAACTTTATACAAAACTTTTACAAAAAGATTCCAGTTAATTTACAGAATAGAGCTGAAGTCTCGCTTATGTGCTGTTTCATTGTATATTACAAGTTATACTGCACCTAAAAACCTCTCTTTTCTTGCATTAGATTAGACTTATGCTTGAACTTGCATCTGTTCCTCTCTGCCTGGTCTCTAGGTCGACAGAGATGTGATGATCTATGAGCTGGAAGTGCAGGAGCTGCATGCTAAACGTGCAACCAAGCAATCTCCATTTAGGTCAGTTTCTGCATCCTGATGGCTCTGACTTACTGCTTACTGGTTAGAAAATCACTTCTCAGGGTGCAAGCACACTCTAGCGATGACATGCTGATACATGGATTTTCAGTCTCCAGGTCCAGTGTGAATACGATGCAGCAGATCTAGAGCGTGCAGCAGACCTGCGATCCTTGCACGCAGCCACTAACCCACCGCCTGTGGTTGCACTAGGAACCATCAATGTGCAGATGAGAATAGCCACAGGTAAGAAAATGCAGAACACTGAGGCTTTTGTTTTCATTCAAACATATAAACATCTTGGAACAAAGCCACAGTAACTTTCTCTCTCTCTCTCTCTCTCTCTCTCTCTATAGATGCATCTTTCACATCCTTCTTTCCAAACGACCAGCTTCCACTGACCTTGCCCCTGCGTGAACCTGTGTATGTGGAGGTTTCCATTGCCCAGCCTTCCCCAGACTCTACACTTGCCCTGCGGGTTCAGGATTGCTTTGCCTACCCAGCGTCCAGGTACTCTGTGTGGACACTTATCTATGAGGGGTAAGGCGGCGCCAGTAACAACATGAAATGATGTGCATAGCTTACTGAGCAGCTGTCAGTTACATTTCATCTCCCTGAGCAGATGCGGCAACCCTTTGGATAACATGAAAAGCTCTGTTCCTGTGGACCACGAGGGGAAGACCACCTCCCACTCCCAGATCAGGAGGTTTGATGTTAAGACCTTTGCCTTCTTGGACCCTCAGACAGGCCACCCAAGTGTGGAGGAAGTAAGGCCATCACACTGGCGTGCTGCCTTGGACATGGCTACGTGTACTGACACTGTTCCCAGTCTACCTTACTACAGCAGCACAGCATCTTGTTAATTGTGTAATCTGTCACTTAGATGTACTTCTACTGCTGGGTGGAAATCTGCACTGATGATGATGATGATGACTGTGCACAGCAGTGCACCCTCATCTGTGAGTATATCACGTCTCATCTTGTGCACAGTCTACGCACTGGTGTTAAACGTTTCTCTTACAGTGTCTGAGAGTGAGAGACAGAGGAGAGAGGCCACGTCAGAGAGCGACCAGGTCCAGCTGGTGTCCCTGGGGCCACTGGTGCTGGGACAGAATGGCACAGAACCAGAGGACAACACGTGTGAGACACAGAACAGAAGTGGGTCCAGATCTGGACAAAATTTCAGTCACGATGTGATAAATATAAACGTTTCTTTTTCTGCCTCAGTGTTTCAGGTGACGCTGTATATCCTGTGTAGTATTGGTGCTGTCGTGCTGCTGGTCCTGCTCTTTACTGTCTGGTCACGCATCAGGAAGTGTCAGAAGGCACAAGTGCAGCAGGCTGGCGAGGCGCAGGCTGGCGAGGCGCAGGCCGGCGAGGCGCAGGCCGACTGTCAACAACCTCAATAAATCACGTCACCTTCTATAATGTGCAATAAAATGTTTCTGTACAGTGCTTTACCTGAGGACTGAGTGGTAAAACCATGGTGTGAAGTTTTATCATAAATCTATGCTTGTCATTTTGTACTGTTGTATTTTGTCACCCTTTTGATCACATTCTTCCACAAACTGTCATTTCTCTCCATGGTGCTGTAATTTAATAAACTGTGAAAATACATCAGAATAAGTTTAATAACAATGTTCAGGTTTACAACCAAGCAGTGAAATGAACACAAAGCTGGGTAGTTGACTCAGTAAGGTCTGAACTTTCTCTGAACCCTCAGCAGAGCTATTTTCTGTTTGTCCTCCTCGAACTTTTTCCTTAGGTCAGCAATGTCTGGGGGAAAAACAACATACAGTTAATCTCAAGGACATTGTTTGCCTCATCTCCTTCAGAAAATAACATCTAACCTGCAGATGAGGGAAAGAAACCAGATTATCCTAAATGTGTTTACATAGACTCAAGACTTATGTAAATGTCATCAACTTACGCTCTTTCTGTGTGTTTCTGTGCTGCCAGGTGTAGAAGTTCATGAGCTCCTTCCTCTTCTTCTTCCTCATCTCCTTCTGTAGAGTCCTCTGGTTGGCTGCCTCAGTGTGAGGGCGGGCCTTGGCGCCCTTGTGTCCTCTTGTGACTTTCACCCAGCCCTCTTCATCCTCTTGCTGCTGCTCAGCCTCCTTCCTCTGCCGCTCAGCCTCCTGTGACAAAGAAAACAAACCCGGGTTGAAGTCGGGTGGATGCGATGAGTGGGTGGTGCTGGAGGAAGAGCTGCAACATTCTCACCTCTTCTTTCCTCTTGTCATAGCCTTCCATGAAGGAGTCGACTATTTGTTGCAGTTTGTCTGGCTGAACGAAAGACTGTGTGTACTCCTGAATCCATTCTGGCAAAAGAAAATGGAGCATGTAACATGCTTGTGTCAAAGAATTGATTAGTTTAGAGTTTGTAGATGTTGGATAAGAACCTGCATTGATTAGTTTAGAGTTTGTAGATGTTCGATGAGGACCTGTACCATGCTAAAACTTGGTCCATATTTTAAAAGATTGCTACAATGCAACATAAGTCTTAAAAGGGAGAATCACATCTTGCATTAATAAAAATGAGTGCCCCACTCACTCTGTACACCCGTCCTCACCGGGTGCAGTTCTGTGCAGACCACCAGTGGCACATCGTGGGGGTGAGATTTAGCTGCTGATACACTGGCTGAGCTTTGAAACACGATGTAACCAACGTTGAACCCCTGGAACAGACAGACACAACAGTAAAGGACACATTTCAGTTTACTTTTACAGTTTTTCTGTCATTATGGGTTATTATAGTAAAAATATGGCATTTTTATCAAATTTGAATTAAATCTATAACACAAAAATGTGCACAAACAAAAAGGATGTGAATATTGTCTGAAGGGACTGCGGAGCAGGAAGATGAACAGAAACACAGGCCAACCTTTTTATCAGCTGCTCTGAAGAACTTGGACAGCTTGGGTCCGGACTCCTTGGAGGAGCCTGGGTGGTCTCTCAGCTCCACGGACTGAACACTACCAAACTGCGAGAATAACTTTTTGACCACAGCCTGAAACACAAACAGCAGGACAGGGATGTCAGTTCGTCAGTTAGCGTTTCTTCGCCAATTATCTAAACGACGAACTCAGCAGCTATAGAAACGACACCTCTGAGCAGTACGGGGGGACGTTAAGGACAAACAAAGTCCGGTCCAGCGGTCTGCCCGAGCTCTTCTCTGCCCGAACTTTGTGCTCCTTCACAAACAGCTGGTGTTGTGCAGCACTGTCGGGGCTGAACTGTAAGGACAGCACTGCGAAGACAGGAAGCAAACACGGCACTCAGTAACGTTACAGTCTGTAAACACCGGGCGGTCCCGGCCCTACCGGCAAAGGACCGTGTGACCTGTTGGATCAGGTTCTGTACGACCGTAAAACAGTGTTCTAGCGTAAAGTAAGACCCTTAACTACGTTAATACCTGTAAACCCTCCGGGAATGATACAAGGCTTGCTGCTAGCATGTTTCTTCTTGGACGGCGCCATTTTGGTATGACCTTTCACACCGGAAGTACAACTAAGCTTCTTTGTTTCTAGATGATTGAAAATGGTCAAATCTAAACTATATATATATATCGTTCATAAATCGCGGCAATACTCGAACCACTTCCTGAACCAGTGAGGCTTGGAATGTCACCAGTGACGTCACTCACACTTGACTTTTGTTTGTGGTTCCAGGGTTCGCTCTCCCCGTGTTTGGTCTCCACCTCCTGCTAAGTGCTCGGCCACGTTCAATGGATGCTAATGGTGTGTGTGCGTGGTCTGGCGTTGAAGCAGCTCCCCTCACACTGCACAATACATAAGCTGTAAAGAATGTACTCTTGTGGTGGCTCAATGAAAACAAGGCTGCGTAAATTACGTCATCCATCATTTGACCTTTAGGTTCAGACCGAATTCAAACGTGCTGAACTGACTGACACACCACGGGCTGTGAGGCTCACAGATGCCACAGAGGTTTCAGGTATGTGTCACCTGGGCTGTGTTGCTACAAAGCTGTTGGCTGCAGTCCTGGCTGCTGGTGCAGCTCTGTGCGTCAGCTGTCCTCTGGGGGGTTTGGATTCCTGAAGTCTATGACCCGTGTGAGTTTTAGTTTGTGCTGATTTCTGAAGGGTGCAGAGGCTCATCAGCCAACACTGATCGTTGCCGCTATGTCACCCAGGTTTGTGGAGTTCACATACCAGAGATTTTTGAAATGGTTTCACTGGATGAATCAGTGCAAGCATCAGAAGTGGAGGCTGTGCTGCCTGACAGGGTTCACATGGCAGAATGGAGAAAATATTCAGTGGACTGTCGCTGGAGCCGTGCACACCCTGGAGAGGTCTGGGTGGACGACGCCAAGTGTGTTACACAGGGAAACAGCTGCAGGTTGTGCAGCATGAAGCTGCTTTTTAGCCACTCTAACAAGTCTCCTAACTTTCCATCTTTCCATCTTTCATCGCCACCGTCAGCTCAGAATTTCAGCTTGTCCAATATTTTGGTTTATGAATTAAAACCTGCACAACCAGTCACATTCCCATCAGCTTCACCTGTGCCTTGTGTTTGGTGCTACTGTAGCATGCTGACATGTTAAAGCAGACATGCTGCCTGCCATTTAGCAGACCGTCCTCATGCTCACACAGATGTGTCCCTCAGCTAGACTGACACATGTTCAGCCTGGAAGGTAACGGCTCGGCTGACGCTCATCATCTCAATACAAAGGCTTATACAATATATTCGAGGTGCTGACCTGTTAATAGCAGGTGGGGCTGATGCTGCGGGGCGTTTGCAGCCTGGACTCATACATGATGCCATCACCAGGGACAAACCACACCTGAAGACGTCAGAGGGTCGAGCGGTGTGACTGTTCTGGCTGGGTAGTGGAAAGGAAACCTGCACTGAGAAGTTCCACTGAGGAAACCCGAGTCTGCTGTTGTACTGTTTCTACAAAAGGTTTTGGTTTCAGCCTGCAGCGCTGTGTCCCGTATTGTTACCTTCTCTATCCGAAGATACACACTTTTCTCATAGCTGTAAACACTAATCAAGTCAAGTCAAGATTTTTATT